TCTAAAACACTATATACTTTAATGTAAAACTGCAAATAACTAGTTATCACCAAATATCTAGTGTTTTTTAAAGTTAGAGATGGCTTTTTCAAACTTTCACAAAGTGTAATTAAAGTTAGCAAAGCAACAGAACAAAACATTGTTATTAAGTGATATAAATTTTAATAAAGTATTGCATAGTTGATGATATTTTAGTTGTGGAACAATATAAACATGCCATCAGTTTCAAAAATTAGAAAACCATTTACAAAAATGTTTGATACAATGTTTTTATCATGTTTTATACTTGTAAAGTTACTTTCCAGCTACTATTGCTAAGTAAGGTTGCATCAAGATGTTAAAATAAACACCCAAAGTAACCAGATCAAATATCAATTTGTTTTTCGGAAAAGTTTTATTTAGAATATCATGAATTCAATAAATTAAACAAGTTCATAGAAAGCAATACATATTTTATTATTTCTTTATAGCGATATTTCTCTTCGTCGTTAATGTTTTGCGTGTTTTTGATTCCCTTTTATAATTTTTACACCTTCAAACATTTTAAATATAATAATATCATTGAAATATGTGACTTGGTCGAGTAAATATAAACGAAGTAAAAAGGTACATCTTCAAGCGCAATCACTGTATTTTCAGTATTCTGGAGCTTTCCAATATGGCAGCCGTACAAAAGATTGGCTTTACTTGTGATAATAGAGATGCGCTATCCAGTTATTATAGAGATCAGTGATCTGCAAGGTAAGAGCTTAATTCCTTTGAAGCAGCAAATTGATTTTGATTTACCTATTACAAACATAGGAATTTTATTACCTGTTGCACTTGCTGCAACCATTCCTGTAAGACGAATTTTACTGTGCTTTACCCTATACACATCTCAGATTGAAGATTTAGTAACTTATTTGGTTGCATACAAAAAAACAATCCAAATTAATCTGCATTATAAATTTTATCAAGTTTATACCAGGATAAAATTGTAGGGAGACTTCCCTACAATTTTATCCAGGTTTGTTTCTTTCGATGGCGTGGTCATTTGAGCTGTACAAGAGTTACCCTCTCCACTTATATTAATTTTTTCAGCAAGTTCTCTGGCTTTTGTTTTAAGAATTGTTGCTGATACTGCCACATTTCTACTCCTTACATTTAAAAACCATTTAAAAACAAGATTATCTAAATTTGAAAATGCTCCTTGTTTAATTCTCGTTTGATTTGTTCCCTAGTGTCTTCATACATTCAAAAAAATTTTATTTATTTTTGATCCATGTTGACAGCGAATTTTTGGAATGCCATATTTCATAGCAACCTGAGACTTTAACAATCCTTCTCCAATTTCCCTTAAAGCAGCGTACTTTTCTTTAATTGATTTTGTATTCATTTTTCTCTTCACAGCGACAGTAGCCATAATAAAATGTAAGCACAACAAATTTTATTTTAATATTGCAACGCACGTTAATATAACTTAAATTATAAACTTAATCAATCTATTATTATTGTTAATATATCAATGCAAGGGCTTCATTGCAGTTTTTTTTTCATATTTTTGCACTAAAGTTTGAGTTATCAGAAAAGTATTAGCCATGGGAACAGATAAAATGGTTCGACTAAGCAAATGTTTGAGTTAACAGGTGTTAGAGTTATCGAGCTGTTTTTATGTGAAAGTATTAGTGAGGGTTCAAGGGGAATTCAAAAGTTGGTCAAGTTACTGGAAGTTCGAGTTAACCGGTGTTCGAGATATCGGGATTTCACTGTATTTATTTTT